ACGTCGGCGATGGTTTCACCTTGCTCCATGCGAAAGAGATCAAACTCTTGCGTCAAAGTATTGATTCTAGCCAATTTTATATCGTTTGTGCCCTCATGGGTGACTTGCAAAGCGTCCCACATTTCCTTAGCCGTAGCACAATGTGAGACGCGAAAATACTCATCAACTCCTAGAGCTGCTATGAGCATGTTTCGTGCTTTCCAGTCATAGGCATAATTTTTCTCATCTTTTTCATCCCATTGTGCTTCCAGTTTAAGAACGGTTATCCCAACAGCATTTTGCATAGTTATTACAACTGGACCATCTTGGATAACCTTCCATATTTTCCTATCAACAGAAGTGATATGGACACGCATACAATCTTTCCAATAGATATAATTTTCACCTGTGAAAATGGGTGCTCTAGTGTACGCCCCTTTTAGATCACAATCCATTTCTAGAAGTTGTATGTGAAGCACTGGACAAATCGGCGCTCTGATACCACTTGTTAGACGATGTGACGGATCTATAAGGGGGGGGGTTGAATATATCCCTTTGAAAAAAAAATTATAAAATTTTTTTTATCAGAGAGCTACAGCCCTGAATCTGATCGTCTAAACTTTACGTATTGGAAGGATCAGATATGCAAACCAATTTAATGAAAATGATGAGAATAGAATCACACTAGAATTAAATATGATGAATCGCTTTAACAAGTTTTAACAAGGTGTAAGTTATTACCAATTAGTTGCGGAGAAGATAAAGCAGATTTGTGAGTTGTAAATTCACCAAACACTTGGTGTACGTACTACACAAGGTTTGGTTATACTCAAATTATAGTGATTATAGCGATTCAAATGAATGTTATATGAGGTGTAAAGTTTTAGTTTGTAACTACAATTATTCTGTATGAATGAAAGAATTGATAACTCACAAATTCAAGCAGATAGAACTAAAATGTAGAAAACTAAAATGGACACAGTGTTTGTTAAGGCAGTTCACCCTGTCGTCCTCGCGTGGGCTACTCTTCCCCCAATTCTATAATCTAGAATTAGGATATGAAATTAATTTTGCAAAGTTTGTAAGAGAAGATACAATCACCACAATTCAAAGTCACTTGATGAATCTTATATGTTGCACTCCTCTTCCCTTGATTCTAGATTAATCAAGTATGCCAAATCTTGAACAAAATCTCCTTCTATCTTGAATGATTTTGAACCCAAGAAATTGGCCCCAAATCCTTCTTCATAATCCTCTGCTTACCACTACCCGATTGAACACCTCACGGTCTTTCAATCCCTTAGCTCGGCTGAATTCAATGAAGCAAAGACTTGTGATAAAACCCCCCAATTTTGGAGGACAAAACCCCAGTGGTTTTATTCAAGAAAAAACCCACAAAGATCTCTACCCAAATCTGAAATTGCACTTTCAATTCGGACGTTATCAACACAATCCCAAAAACTTGATCAACAAAAATGATTGTGTGTAGCTATTGATGGTTGATGAGAGGTTGAAGATGAAGAGAGCTCTTATGTCTATCTTTCACTTTTTCTTGTTATTACTTGGAAAATAGAGGCCAAACAATATATATAAGTGATTCCCATAATGTAACAACATAGCAGAAAAATGAGTCAATATAGCGATGCGTCGGCTCATGCAGGGTATACAGAAGGTGTGCACCTTCCCCAGCGAGAGAGGTTGAAATTCCTCAAGTTATGCGCCGACTCATTGTCTGATGCACCGACTCATGTTTTCCCAGAACTATACGTCGATGCATAGAGAAGGCGTGCGCCTTCCCAGACGTTTCCAAGCCAAAATCTTCTTCTCATGAGCCGACCTAAGGTTCCATTAGCCGGTTCATGCAGTCTGTTTTGAGAAAAATGCTTGTTTTTGATGTTTCTCACTTGCACCTGTTTGAAGCATGACATATTTGCACAGGTAGGTTTTTGACAAGCATTAAAACTCAGTTCTTTCACTTTTTCCCTCACAGGTTATTCCTTTATACTCCCTTCCTTTAGGATAAAAATTAAGGGTGGCGACTCTATTAAAAAACCAATTGCAACACAGATAACCAAGGTAAAGTTACATACAAAATCCAACAAATAATGGTTACAAAGAGAGGAAGAGGAGAAGAAACCAGATTTCCTGCAGTGTCAAACACGGTCCATCAAGCTCACGATCCTAGGTCATCCATTTGCAGCCACAAATGTTGTTGCCTAAGTTCTAACTATCAAAAAATGAAGTTTGATGGAGTTGGGATAAAAAAAATACCCAAAACCATCCCCAAAAAATGTGTTTTACCCCAAATACGTATTTCTGATAGGTCCGCATCGCTCGGCGACCAAAAAGTGTCGCCCGACGACCAAAACTATATTTTTACACGCTTCAGGTCGCCCCAGCGTCGCTCGGCGACCAAAAAGCGTCACCTGGTGACGAATGACAATAAGTTGAAAAACCAGCAAAGTTTCAGCCATAAGTTGAGAACCGTAACTTTGATTCTCGCACGGTCGGAAGCGTTGGAAAGCTTATTCAATGCTCTTTCTAACAATGCTTAAATATCAATACTTGAATACCTAAAAAAATGAGATAAAATCAATTAAACTCAATGATATTTAAACGATAACGCAATAAATAAACTATAACGTAAACTATACCGAAATACACTAAAGTTGAGGTTTCTTGATAAAAAGCAAACGAATTAAGTTGGTGAGTTCTAATTATTCACACTCAAATTCACAACAATTTAGCACTCATCAAATATATCTCCTCCCTCTTCATCTTATCTCTTTCTTACTTGTGTTACATGTTATTGGATAATAATCTATATAACATTTCTCTAATATGTGGTACGTAGATTGCTATTGACTGGCCTTAAAATAGGTGTGACTTTTACATAAGTCCACTTACGATTGCTTAACATAGCGCTAAATTTGTTCAGATTCGAAAAATAATCATTTGTGGCGCAAACCTATGTTTGCAAGCCCAAGTATGTTTAATTTGAAATCTTTGGTCCAATAACCTTGAGGTTCATTGTTAGGAGGCTTTGATTTTTTTAATCCTCTAATGAACTTTCATGAATTTTGGTCTAAGTGAAGCAGTTAAACATCATTGATCATATGTGTTTGCGTTGAGTACTTGAAATGAATAATATACTTGACAAAAAACAAATGAAACTTATTGTAGAGAAGCTTTGATTTTATCAATTTTCTAATGAATTTTCAAATGTAAGTTTTAAGATGGTCATTCAAGTAACCCCTAACTTCTAATTCATTAACAATTGACTTTACTTTGTGCTTTTACTTTGTGTTTTTACTTTGTGCTTTTACTTTATGTCATTTATTTTATGTCTTTACTTTTATGCACAATTTACTTTAGCATTTACATTTCATGTTATTTTCATCTTTGCTAATTTGAGTATTTATCTTTATGCCATTTTATTTTTTCCCACTTGAGCATTTATTTTTATGTCATTTTTATTTTGCTCACTTGAACTTTCATTTTCTTTTTGAAGATACTTGAACATTAAAATATTCTTAAGGTTACTTGTACAATTTGATTAATATCTTTGGCATAATGAAGATGCTCCTTAGTTGGATTCTACTCCAAGTACTTGTCCATGTGATTATGTCCTTACAATAACACAGGGGTTAACTTTTATTTTTAATGCAGGAGTTTATCTCCAAGTACTTATCTATATATAGGTGGGGGAGTCATGATATTTTGACTCTCTTGAGTGATCCCAAGTGAAGCCTTTGCAATTCAAGTGAGAATTATTTTGAACTCTTAATTAATGTTAATCCAATGAATATAAATGAATGTGGAGTTGTAAATTGTAAATTTGAGTTAAATGAATTGTAAATTGAGAAATAAAATTCATTTTGCAATGTGAAATATTGGTGAATTTGAATCTTTATCGTGTGCAACAGAAACGTAAATCAAAATGGAAATTTTATGGTGGTTCCACGTAAGACAAAATATGTTTTTTGAAATGAATTTTGACAGCCAAATAAAACTCAAGTTTAAAATAGAATGCAATTAAATTGAATTTGAATGAAATTTTGAGTGAATTTGATATAGATGTCTCATATATATATAGGAGTGATAATTTGTATTCTAAATTTTTATAAAATAAAACTTTTTGTTAATTTTAAATCACTTAATTATTTAATTTTTATGAGGTCATTTAAGAGGGCAAAATATATATATTTAACTTGACTCCTGATATATTCAAGCTATTAACAAGAATTTTCAATTTAATTGTGTGAATATTTTGCCAATCTAATAATGGTTTGCTTTAAGCATTTTGTTAGACTAGATGATAATTTGAATAGTTTAAAAAGTATAAATGAAAATATATTGTACGACGTAGGAGAGATCATATTGTATTGCAGCGCTTAGAGGATTAAAAATCACTTCCCGTCTATGAATATTTTACTTTTAGTGCTAACACTGCAAAAGTATCCATGGTGATTGTTTTTCATTAGTATATGAAAAGAGCAAAAATATTCATACAAAAAAGTTCTAACAAGCTACAATACAGGTGTGGTTTAACTATTTCATTGGCCCTTTATAGTTTTTGACAATTTGTTAAGACAATATAATTTACAGCCATTTAAAATCATTTAACTAAATTTGTAATCACTGACATCATTAACAATTCGTTAAAAGATCTGACTGGCACAACAGAAATGACAAATTTCCTTTTGTTCTCTTTGATTCTATTAAAAAAGTATATATGTGAAAGGTGATGTTTCTTTCACAAAAGATTGACCTTGAAGAATATAAAGTGTCAATAAAGAGAGAGAAAAAAGTAGTAAAAAATGGAAATAAAACTACAAGAAAACCATGCATTAAGATGATGAAACTTGGATCACAAAAAGCAGCAACAGGCCTCCATAAAGTTGAACAAACCAAAAACTTCAAAAAAGAAATTATAAACGACACCTGCAGGATAGATAAAACAAACAAAACCAACAACAAAGTTTAAGACAACAATCCTAAAGAAATGTTAACCAATGTTACTAGTTATCACCATAAACACCAATCCTGTCCATAATGTTAGCCACGGTATCCTTGCTTTCTCTCAGAACCTTTACACTCCTGCTCAACCGTTCCCTCTTCCCAGATATCGATGGTGACTCTTCAAGCAACCTCTGGACCCCACCACCAGACGGGGCTAACAGTTCATGACATATCTCCTTTTGCAAATCAGTACTAATCAGTTCATTGATGCTTAACATCAAATGCATAGCTATAACATCAATGAGCCTCCGAATAACAATTTTCCAATAAGCTATCAATCTTGCTTTCAAATCATAGGCCTGCGCCAGAGTTAACATGTCAGGATATTTCATAAGATGAACAACATTAATAACACCAACACCTTCCAGTTTCACAGTATTTCCTTCTCGATTAACATTCGTAACCTCTTTCAAAAAACCTTCTTGATGTGACATCAGATTGTTATACTCCTTCAAGTATTCCGGATTACATGTGTAATCAGTTAGCTTCTCCATTTGCACAGCTTGCAGCACATGTTGTATCGAACTTTTCTTCTTTTTCTCAATCAGAAGCTCAGCGGCTCTACGAATCGATACCTGAAGCTGATAATAGTTTGAAGAGTGGAAATTCAGAACAGAAGTAACAACAGTTTGCAAATAGTTCCACACATTGTCAACAAAATTGATTGGCATATAAGAAATGCCCTTCACTTTTTTGGAAAGTAAAGTAAGAAATGCTGTTCTTGGCATGAAGTTGGGAAGACCGATAATCTTAGCTTCCTCGAGAACCTTTATCTCGTCCATCAGAAAGTCCTTAGTTGGATTACTTTCTGAACATATTTCAAGTTCATTAGCATAGGAATTTAGCATTTCAACTAATCTAGCTGTACAATGCATTTCCTTTTCATCAGGGTAGTCTTCAAATTCTCCTATCAGGAGAATCTTCCTGAGGGAATCTCTTGATAGAGAAATAATTTGCATAAAAGCAGCCATGGCATCAGCCATTGAAGACAAATTAGCAGGTAAAATTTCCAACTCATTTAAACTGTTTCCGAGCTTCTCATTAATTTTCTTGATGATCTCAGGCAAGGTTTTTGATATAATCTGGGCTTGCACATGAACAAGCTTCTGCGCCAAAACAGGAATTCCAACAATAGATTTATCAATTTTGGAAAGAAGTGAATGAGACTCAAACAGCTTCAGTTCTTCTTCTCTGGCCTCTTCGTATGACTCCTCTCCAATCCTATTTCTCACACAAACATAACCAAGACCTATATTCACGTCATCAGCCGTAACCTTCTCCAACAAACCTTCTGGAGACTTATCAGCCTTTGTGACAACAGCTAAAGTTCTCAAACCTGTTTTATCAACAGTTTGTGACATCCTAATAGACTCACAAGTGGTAAAATCCACCGTTGCAGAAAGTACATTCAAGATAATACTCTCTTCAGGAGTTATATACTGCATGATAATATCCTTAATCTGATCATAGATGTTATCCGGTTGACCATGAACCGGCACACGAGTTATTCCCGGAAGATCAACCATGGTAAGATCAGGAACACCATTCTTCTTCACAATCAAAGTCAGTGGTGTGTTAGAAATCCCTTTGGCATTTCCAGCAAGCTCTTCAGTAGCAGTGTTAATTGCATGAGAGACATTAGCCTCATCTGTTGAAACATTCTTGCCGTTGTACTCCAAGACAAGCTCTGGCTGTGGTAGTAGGTGATTCTGCAGCCTCATCACCAACGGGACCCTTGTGCAAATTCCTTGTCCACGCGGCAAGCTGATACCAGCCAATGATTCAAGGACACTAGATTTTCCAGATGATTGATCTCCAACCACAACAATAGTTGGAAGCTGGATTCCTTCTTTGGCAATATTTAGACGCCTCAAATTTTCAAGGGCATCGAGAACCGGACGTATCTTCTCATTATAAGAAGATACAATGGGTGCAATGGATAGAGTTTGAGGTTGATCAACATCAACACAGACCAATGAAAGTGACGGTCTATCATGTTTGGTAGCCTTTGTGGAGGAACTCTTCTTTCCAGATGCCATTGTTAAGAAAAGTAGAGTTATAATGAGGTTATGCTAGGGAAAATTCAAATTTTTTCGTTGAGTTGAGCTTATGATGAATGGAAGTTAAGGTTAAATCCGTATTTATAGAGAGAACCTAAAGGGATGAGTCAAATGAAAGGATAGATTTTGAATGTCGTTTGGTATCTTGCAGAGAGGTTTTCAAGGGAATTGGAATTACAGTTGGGATATCGGGTTGTTCAAAGTTTTGAAGTATTGAAAGGTTCCTCGTTAAGTGCATGGTAGTAATTCCTCTAGGATTATACACGTAAGACGAATGATATTTCTACACACATCAGTGCCGTGAATAATATTATGAACGGTGCATGAATAGTAACAATGAATTGTTTGCGAAGAATAATTTTTAATAGTAAAATAAAGTTGATTAATAAAATATAAAAAATTGGTTAATAATATAATAAAGTTGATTAATATATACTCTGATTTTAAAAATAATTTTTAATAAAAAATAAAATTGATTAATGAAATATAAAAGGTTTGTTAACGAAATTATGAAAGTGGTTAATAGACTATTCAGATTTTTAAAAGTAATTTTTAATAGTGAAACAAAGTTAGTTAATGAAGCGTAAAAAATTGGTTAATAATGTAATAAAGTTGATTAATTAAATAATTTTTAAATAAAAATAAAAAATATTTTTTAAAAATATTTTTTTAATATTATAATATTTCACTGTTAATCAATATGATGAATAGTGAAATACGGTGAAGTTGTAACTTTTGGTGTAAGAATAACATTTTTCTATCGATATGATGAATAGTGAAATACGGTGAAGTTGTAACTTTTGGTGTAAGAATAACATTTTTCTATACGTAACAATTTCAATGCAATAACTAGTAGAAGACATGTGCGTCCGCACGAGTTAAATCCATTCATATTTTAAATCAATCTATAGAAATGTTTTTACAATTAAAAATAAAAATCTAAGATATTTGTGTATCTTTCTTAATACATTATTAAACTATTTATATTAATTATTATTTTTGTTTTAAATGCATTTATATTTATTATTATTTTTGTTTTAAATGTATTTATATTGCTCAATAAATTAAGGAAAAATATATTTTAAGTAATTAAACATTAGTGTAAACGTGATGTTATGGTCGTATGTCATAATTGATTTTATACATGGAGTCGTATGTCAGAAATGATTTTATATATAAGTCATGCTAAGAGTGTTAAAGATATTATAATTATAATTAAAAAAATTTAAATGTAATTAAATATATTAAAATTATATTTAAATTTTTAAAACCTTAAATACATGTATTTTAAGAAAATATTTTTATAAATAATTTATTAATTTTTATTCTTGGGATACATTGGGATACATGTTAGATTTTTCCTTTATATATTCATGTAAGAGATAATATACAAACATTCGATAAAAGATGTAACATTGGTTAAATCCAATTATGAATACAATTTGTCAATTGAAAATCTAAATTCCAGCTATGGCATAATATCAATATTTATGACAATCGTACTTAACTACGCATTAAAATTAATATTTTTGCATGCTTTCTTTTCTGAATTTAACTGCTTGTGTGCAGTGTCATTTAGTGAAGTATTTCGATTGCAATTTCAATATTAAAAACAAATACAAATGAGTGATAGTCCAACACCTATTAAATAACAAAAAATTATCTTGATAATGATAATGATAATGAATCGATTCCTCAATTATATAATCGTGAAAAGATTAAAATACATAATAATCAAGATTTCAAATATCTCTTCATTGACTCAAATATTTATGCATGTTTTTTTTGCTTAAATCTAACTAAATATGTCCGTACCATTTTACGAAATACTTCAATCACAATTTTTAATATATACATGTAATCCATGAAAATGAAACCAAATAAAGTTAAATGCCTCAAAATAAAAAAATTAAACAAACGAAAGAAAATGAAGAAACATGTTATAAATCTTGGTACCAATCAATGAAACTCACTTGTTAAAACTAATTTATTGTCTCCAAAAAAGAAGACTTTAATATCAATTTAACATTGTGGATGTGTTTACCGTGATTTTTGGTAAACAACTGCTGATCCTCTAAAAAGGAAAGCCCTTTTGGTTACTCGCGGGATCGATCAGATTGATCCCAGAATATATGCTAACTTTTATACTGAGTTGATGTAAAATAAGAAAAGAAATCCAGGAAGAACGCACGTTCGACCAAAGACAAGATACTTGTGGTTTTAGAAAGTAAGAAAGTTAATAGAAATGCAGGTAAAGATGCAGAAAAAGTAACTTTGCGAAATAAGATCAAAACAATGTAAAAAGACTTTATTAATGAAAAGTGGTGTTTCCAACGTACATTTCTCAGTTTATCCTTTCTCACACAACGGGTACTTGGACAATATTTGAGTAACTAGCACAATAGGTTGAACACACGGAAAAACTACACAGATTTCCTATTTTATACTAAAAAATATGTAATTGTCGAGGGGTGGTTCCGCTCTAAGATGAGGACAAGTGTCCTCTGCATGTCCCTCGACCTCTAGTTTCCAGCCACATTGCTTTCCTCTAACTGTTGGCGAAGCCTTCTTTCCCTCCAATAATTCAAATTCAAATATCCCTCGCCTTTGGTGTCGACGCGAAGGTATTTTCTTCTAGTCGAATGTCATAAGACCTTCTCAGTCGAAATCTTGATAGTGAGTCCTGGTCGAAGACTAATATATAACTTAGATATTTTCTCTAAGTTGTTTCACACGTCGAAACATTCTTCAGCTTGGTTTTATTTATTCCATTTTTGGTCTAAAAGACCAATATCTAGTAGGTGTCGAATTCAGGAGCCAACAAATTGCCCCCCAAGAATGTCTATTTCGACGCCAAAAGAAATAGCCATTATTTGATCTTTCTGTTCGACACCTGTCTCTCTTGCTGTCCACAAAGGCCTGACGTGCGCTTTTCGTCTTCCAACAGCTGCCGCTTTCGAAACCCATCATTACTCTTTTTCCCAAGACGTCTTTTCCAACTGCCGTTACCACGCTGCCATGATGACCATTATTCCTAGAACCTAGGCAAGCATGTCAAAACGCTTCCCATCATCTGCACGGTAACTGCTTCAGGGTCTGCCACGTGTCCCACTACATTCATAGCATTAAATGGATTTGACGAGACACATTCCTCTCTGAAGACTATAAATACTCTTGAGCCTCTTCATTTGGAACTTTCACAACACTAAGTATTTCCAAGTCTTCTGCCTAAAACACCTTGTATTATCAACTTTGCTTCTTTCAAATCTGCAAAAATGGCTTTCCTTTCTAATGCACCTAACAACCCCAAACCTAAAAATGTTGCTGATATCCAACGCCAACCAGAGATATTTCCTACCATTCCTTCTCCTGCTTCGACTGATGGGCCACAGTTCATTTCTGAACCCACGACTAGTGAAAGGCGAGAGGTGTATGACTCCCAACTTCTCATTCATATTAGGTACTCTGAAGACATATACGCTATATCTGGTCCTCTGTCCACATGCATCGAGAATCCTTTGAAGAACCGTGCCTTATTCCCCACTCACCCAAGACTCATACCTATAGGCTGTGCGAAGAAGCCCAGGGACGATCCTGAGGATGCGACTCCAGCAAACCAGCAACACGCTCAGACTACAGAGGACATTAACCTTCAATTTATGAACAAAGGGATCAGGATCTTTCGATCGTGCCCTAACCTCTCTTTAGAGTATTAAGATTGGTTAAATAAGGTGGAGAAGGCACAAACCTCTGTCTGGAAAGAAATGGGGATTTACGATTTGGTGATGCTGTCGAAGACAGGATTGTCTTATTGTCCTCTTATATTGGTATCTTCGCTATATTTCTGGGATAACACCCACTTCACATTTCATCTTCCCTGTGGGATGGTGACCCCAACCCTCTTCGACATAGCAGCGATCACCGGTCTTCGACCGACTGGCAATTATTTCGACCCAGAGGACCTATCTGAAGATGTTATTGGGTTTTCAGCTATAAAACCTACCTACACCACCTTCATCAACCACTTCCATGATAAATCCTCCAGTACCGTGTCGGAGGTGGAACATATAGCTTTTCTGGCTATGTGGTTATCCCGTTTCGTCTTCTGCACCAAGTCACTTCAGGTGACTAAGAAAATGCTCACGCTCGCGACGCAACTTCATCATGGCTACCCCCTCTGCCTGGCCGAATTGATTTTGGCCAATCTATATGAGTCCATCAGCAATGGTGTGACTCAACTCAAGGTCATAGGAGATAGGGCAAGCTTGCTTCTTTCTGGCCCTTTCTGGCTTCTTTAACTTTGGCTCAATGCCACCTTCAAATCTTTTCTTCCCCAGAAGAATAAGATCAATGAAGCGGCCCCAGAAATCCTGAACAGGAGGGTCGAAGGTACCAGACTTTCTTTGCTGACTCCTACTGACGAGGGTCAACAGTTTCAAAAGGCCTTCACAAGCTTCATGATGATGTTTGCAGAGCGCAAGCGTTTTGTTTCGACCATGGCTCCTTTTTCTAGTCGAAAAGTCGGCCCATAATGGTTTACTAGACCATTTCCTTAGACTGAGGAGGAAGACTTGGAAGACGAATACGTGGGCATGTGGGAGTCGTTTCTTCGACCCAAAATCATGCCACTGAGATTCAAGAGCTCAAAGAATCAATTAAGTTTGATTTCTTACCAACCAAATCTCGTCTCTCGACAATTTGGCATTGTCCAGTCACTCCCATCACCCATTTATCCTCGAGAGAAACTGCTATTATTTTAAAACGCAGACTACTCAGAGGATGCTGCTACCAAGCATATTGGTAGGTACGTTGGTCGAACCGTACTAACCATGTTCGACTTCAATCTCAATTTTTTGTGTTCTAGCAATTTTGAAGGGTGGTGGAGGCAGTATTATGACGAGGAGTTCTTTGATGAGAAGGACTTCGCCCACCACCTTCGTGAGGCGTTTAAACTGGTTTTTGACAGGATCAAGAAAGGT